CGAAACTGATCCAGCGGAAGCCATAAGCCAACTGGAAGCACTGGCAGATGATAAGCATGCTTACGAGTGTATCCGACTTGGTGATATTTATGCCGTAATGATTGTGCACAACGCTCGGAAATTGAATTACAAAAAAGTAGGTTAACATGAGTTCTAATTTGTGCTAGTTTAATTTGATGTTCACTAAATTTAAGATTTCATGCACTTCTGCGCCCAAAACGCATTTTCACTTTGCAGGCTTACTCACTGATCCAGCAGCTGATGCAGCGTGAGCCACATATCCAGTTATCACGTTTTATAAGTAAGCAGATGTTAGATAGCGTATGTGATGAGCTGAAAATGCCACATCTTCTGGATGAAGCAGGTGATGAAGCTGGATCAGGCGATGAGCGTGATGAGGGCGTGGAGTATAGCTATGCGATGAAACGGCTCATAAAGAGGAATAGTGAAGCACTCAAAGAGAGCTAGTTTGGCCAAATTTTCGACTCATAATTTTGCTGTTATATGATTCTTTTTTTCTTGCAATAGTATCAATTTTGCGCGACTTTTGTAATGGAATTTTGGAATTTTCAGAGGAAAAAAGTGAATTACAAAATTTTGAAGCTTCCAGAGGAAAAGGGTGGATTTTGTTTCTTTCTTTCGTTTTGTTTTTAAATAATACAATATTTTGTTTTGCGTGGAAGTTCCACTCTTTAAATATTTATACTTCGCAGTCTTTTTATTGATTTTAGACAGCTTTTTATATCGCTTGGTGGGAAACTTAATTTCATACAAATTTTTATGATTTAGGTCGTTTCATCATATCTCGCATATCTCAGGCCTAAATATTCCAAGCAGTAATTTGGTAATTTAATCAGCTATTGTTTCATCGACACGTTTCCTCTCGCCGCTAAAGCAGCTTGCATCTTCTCCATTCTTCTTTGTTTTGGGCTCCTCGCATTTAAGTAATTTCGAATGATGCTCATATACTTAGTAGCGATGGTTGGAATTTTTTAACGAGATACTGTATTTCTTGCAAACTCTATAAGAAAGATATATATGCTTTCCGTGCAACTTTTAGTGGGGAATGTTGTATATTTACAAGTAGCCATATCTTTGAAAAACGAAGCATCATTACTTGCTGTATGAAAAAGTGTGATTCTATCGGTACGACCCTTGACCTTGTTTCTATCGTGAACTATGCTATAGGAATCTTCGTATTTTTAATCGAAAAAAGCTTTCTGTAAAAGCTTTTTTAAATTTGTGAAATTTAATTTGTAGAAAAATAATAAAAAAAGCTATTCTTTT